CAAGAATATTAACCACTAGAGTGAAAAAATATGTATTTAGGGATCCCAGAAGAGAAGAGAATATTTGACTTTCTGAAAATACACAGCTCTTCCCTGGGTTTATTTGGGCTGTTTTCATAGCCTTGAGGCTGGTTTTTACTACTCCATCCCTGGATAGTATGGAGTTTACCTTTGTTTATCTTCACAAAGGAGAAACCTACTAGTACATGAAATACTAGCAGTTGCAGCTTGCTGTCCGTGCAGCATGCAGGTAGTGGTGGTAGAACCCACCAAGTAGCAGGTAAACACTGGAGCCTCTGGAACAAATTCTCATGTGAAAAGGTTATAAAGAACACAAGACTAAACTATTTGGAGGGCAGATTCCAGTTAGGTTGCAAGGTACACGAATGACACCCATTCACTTTTTTGGGGGGTGGAGTCGGGGGGGGAATTCATTTGAATTGACTAAGTTCAGAATGAGGTCTTTGAGTCCAACACTGAGGGTTCTTAAAAGAGGCAGTGATGAAACCTCATTTCCATACCTGGCTCTCTCTGTTTTTGAGGTTATATGCCTACCTGCAGCTGGAAGAGTTTTATGCAAAAGAGTGTTGAAGCAAATCAAATTAATGGCTTATATATTGCAAAAGAGAAGAAATTCAGAGGAAGCTTGTGTGGCTGGCTGGCGTACATTTTTAGTTCAAACTAAGTGATTGTGAAATATATAAATGTATGTATTTCCATATCTTAATTTTTAACTTTTTAACTTTATCTAAGCTGGAGGTCTTCAATTTTTTAACTCCTTTCTGAGCTGTACTGACAAGTTCACTTTCTGTAGCTGGCCTTCTCTGATACCCAGTCTTGTCTACATATGAAAGTTTGTGGCCTCATACTTTTCCCCCAAATGCCTAAAGATTTATAATTGCTAAAAATAAATTAAAAAAAAGAATAAAAACAATCATCCTTGAATCCTCCACAATAAACTACAGAAAAATTCTGTTTCAGAGCATGCTTTACTGTAACCTCAGTGAACATTTTGTCTCTCCCTCTTTGGTCCAAAGGAAACACAAGAAAATTCCCATTGTTTTTCATCTCATTTCTCAATTACTATAAAGCAGCACACCCTCGTGCATAGCAGGCCTACCATCAGTCCATCCACAGGTCAGGGTGTGAATAACACTAATAAAAGAAAGCTTGTGTCATTCAGTTGTGTGTTCTCAGCCTTACCTGTGAACCCAGTAAAGAAAACAAAGGTGTAACATAATGTAAGGAGTTGAGAAATGGGTTTAGAGGTAGGACAGAGAAATGTGAGACACAATGGTACTCCCTGGCAAGGGAATAGAGCAGAGAGGAACTTTCAGTATTGCCTCAGCATAATTCAAAGAGTTTCCCTTTTAATATTTAGACAACTAACAAGAAGAGTAAACACAGGACTATCTGGAGCATGCCCACTGAATAAGTCATCTCTTTTGTGCTGGTATCATTTGGAGAATTGAAAAAAAAAAAAAGTAGTAGCTCATTAGACAAGCAGTTGATTCAATACTTAAAAATAAACCAAGTGAACATTATGCATGCATGTCAGCCAAATAATGATAAAATAATTTGATAGTGACAGAGCTACAGCATCCTGGTATGTGGGGATAAATCTCCAACATAGGTGTTGCATTCACTTGGAGCTGCAGCAGCAGATGTTAGGAGTTACACGTTCAGTTCCTAGATGAAGCTGGAAAAAAGCTGGCAGCGAGGAACATAGATTTCCCAATACCTTGAAAAAGAATATAATAGTTTCTTCCAGCTTTATGGAAAAACAGTTGTCTTCTCTCAACTTAGTCAGGGTTTTGTCTTACGTGGGCTTTAAAAATTCACAAAAGATCAGAATAATGGCTATCAATATAATAATCAAGGACAGCTGAAATAAGGCACTGGATGGGGATTGAGCACACTGCTGCTGATGCACCATGGCCTGTGCCCTGCTGCTTGCACTGCTGGCTCTAGAGGTAGGAGCCAGGTTTCTGCACCCAAATGAGCTGTCTCTGCATCAAACCATGGTGTCGGGTTGGGCTTCTTGTTTTGTATGTCTGTTTCTAAAATTATATGTTGTTTGTCATGATGATGTTGTAAGATGGTTCAGAAAGGCTAGACCTTGATATGTCCCAAGGACTGACCGTAGAGATAGGGATGGCAGCAGGACTAGCCAAAACCTATTAGAGGGGTCTTGCTCTCTTTCTCAGCTGCCCCAGCTTACTTTCCTTCTGCTAACCCCACTTCAGGAGGCCTTTATTGTCTATGGTTTCCTCCATCCTTGAGACAGCTGCAGCAGGTCACGCTTAGAACATGCCACCTCGCAGAGTCCTACATCCCCTGTGCTGATGCAGTCCCACCACCTCACTGCCATACCTCCCTGTGCTGTGTGGATGCCACTCTCACAGGAAGACAGAGCTTGTATATGAACTGTACAGTGCTTCACATAGTACCTATATTAATTACATGTGGTTATATATAGTATATAATCACATATTTAATATGAGATGTATTATATAATAAAGACACACAATGTAATAATTATAATACTACATTTTATGAGATGCTATTCAGTTCATGTGCAAACTGTATTAGATAAAATTACATATAATAGCTCTAAATTAAACTATATCTGTGATCTTACAATTAACATATAATGTATAATTAGATATAATAGTTCACATTAATTACACAAAAATGATACAAAACTGGCTTTAATAGAAATACCGCAGTTCTGTTAAGACCCATCTTTCAGAAAATGGCAGTGTTAGGTATCCACAGAGGATGGAAGCAGAGCTACACGCTCAGTTTTCACTGTTGTATTTCCACATGCCCTCTGTAGAAACTGTGTATGCCCGTTCTAAATTTGGGGCAAGAAATCCAGCATCTACAGATCTTCACATACTGAAACATATTTGGAACCAACAGCATAAAAGTCCCCAGTACAACGTCTGCCTTGATGTGAAAGTAGGCTGGTAGTAAACACAGGGGTTTCCTTTTGGCTAGCGTGTTCTTTACCTACTCACGTCCTGCTCTGGCATGTTGGCAAAGCAGTCAGAGTGATTGCAGGACACTGCCAGGGCTGTTTATGTGTTGTTTGCATTTGGCACCCTCTCTCACCTCATACCTATTTGACAGCATGCAAACAAGCAGCCAAATACTTCTGTGAAACAAGGAAGCCTGGACTGAAATCTGTTGCTATAATTGTTTTAAAGCTTCAAGGAGGAGAATTTGGAGAATTGATGGAATTCCTTAGAGAAGGAGGAACCAGCTCCATTACATATTTCTTTGCTTTAAAGGGTGTGGAGAAATAGAAATAGGTGAGAGGAGGGGGTGGGAATTTTAATAAATCCATTTTTACTGGTGCTAAGTGACTTTCTTGATGTGTCTGTACCAGGGCAGACCACAAAGGCAGCGCTAGGCACGGCGGCACTCCCATGCTGCCAGCAGGGATAACGCTTCCCTCGGTGTAAGGTCTGTCAGCCCAGCAGTCAGGGGTTTGGGGCAAGAATTAAACAGCTGACTAGATATGACAAGGAAATATTAATTTAAAAAGGACACTTGACCAGCCTTGAAGCCTGCTTCAACCACGCAGTTGTGACAGAGTGCACCCTGTGTGTGTGCTTGCTTGCATGAGAGTTTACTAATATGTATAACATTAATTACCCACTTACGTCCTGAAGCAAGGCTGGGAATGAATTTCAGGAAAAGAGATGTTTGTTTTGTGAGGACGCCCACATCCCATATACTTTCAGTCCTGAGGAAATCGCCCTGTATCTCCACCCTGCATACGCTTCTGCCTGGGGCTGTAGGCAGTAAGCAGGGAGGAGACGCAGAGCTTACGGACACCGTGTACCCCAGTTCCTCCACGTCCCCCACCACGGACAGCCTGACCAGCAACCAGCCCGGGGTCTATCTGCTGCTCCTGCCTGGCTGAAGCCCTACAGCTGTTGCCTCAGCAGAGGAAGGGATTGGGTTTCACAGGCTGTGTAATCTGCACGCCACTCTTTGGCTTGGGGATAGCAACAAGCCTCACTCAGGCTTAGCCATCCCCTTTCTGCCCGTAGAGGAACGCCCCGCTCGACATAGAAGGAAAATTGTTTGCTGAATTTCTGCGCAGCCCTCCTTCCAATTGCTGGAGAGAGAGGGGGAGTGAGAAAGAGAGAGAGTTTAAGGCAGGCTCTGCAGTGGTGTTCTGGGCTATTTCAACTTCAGGGCAACTTTAGAGAACTTCAGTTATTTTTGGTAAGTTTTTGTTTTGTTTTGTTTTAAAGAACCAACCCCCCTCTCTCTCTTTCTTTTTGATCTCTGTTGCAGATTACATAAGTTTGCAGTAGATGATGGGCTTTTAAAATTGCAAAGAGCTGTGGGGGTGTGTGTTTCGCGTCCTTTGATACAGAAACTGGACATCCTGATTCTAAAGACGTAATGTTCCCAGCTGCTGTACTTGATAAGAGAAACCTGAAGATGCTGTGCATTAAATGATGCCACCAGGGAAAAACGTGCCCAGAACTTCAACCAGGGTGCATCCCACCCGGTGTAAAGTTTTGTCTCTTTCTTCTGTATGGGAAGAAGTGAGATCAGGGATGAACGAACTTGTTCGTTCAGCCTGCTGAAAAGTTTCTGATAAACGTTTCGAGTGTAGGGGTTTTGAGCTTGTGCACTAAGCCTCCCCAGGCTTTCGGAGGGATGTTGGTTCAGTCCTATAGACACCCCTCCATTCAGTAATCTCTCTTCCAGATCATGCACGTTGTTTTTCTTCCTTCCTCTGTCTGTATACTTAACCCATCTTATGATCTCAAAGATTTTGTAGTACAAAGAGCCAGTCCCAGTTGCAATGAATTGCAAATTGCCATTTGCTTACAGTGAAGCTGGTTTCTGATGAACTCGAGACTTCTGTTATTTGTTTCCCCCCTAGATATGTTCGGATTTTTATAGTATCTGTGCTTCTACAAGAGGAATTCTGTTTGTGTGGGTATTATATCTCAATAGATACCATTAGCAATATATATATCATAATGTACTGACTTGGCAATCAGATCTCTGTATGTTGGTGGTATTTGAGACTAAGATTAACCTTGAAGCATTTAAGTAATAGATCCCTAACCTTGACAGTAGAAGTGGGATCCTATATGTGTTCACTGTGAGGCTGCTGAGGCTAGTTCACAAAGTGATAGGAAATATGCTGGATAAAATTATTCTGTTCACCTGTCCAGGCTCTTTGCCATGTCTGTGTTCCTTAAAATATGTGTCTGAACACATGAATACAGGTGATCAGAAGTAGGATTTGTATCTGTAGCCACCTGTAGAGAGAATGAAAAGTACATGTTCTTAAAGCTTTGATAGAAAAGAGAAGAAACGTTACTCACATAAAAGAAAACACCAAAAGTCTACCCCTCTACAACAAAAATAACCATTATTTGTAATTTATCAGACAAGAAATACAGAAAGTTGGAAGGTGACTCTTAAGAGGTACAATACTTTGCTTATGATCACCTGTCACATGCACAAGGGAAAACTTCTTATTGCCTTGCTATATCTCTTACTATAATAAAGAAAATCGACAAAGAATTTTGTGGGTACAAGAAAATTAGAGAAAAAGCAGGTTATGACAGCCAATTTACTTCTGAAAGCTATCCTAACACAGGTTAAAATTCCACCATGAAAAAGTTTCAGGCATTTAACAGCACAGGAAAACATATAATGTCTCAGAATTTATTGGGTTTTATTAGCTATGTTTAAAAATGATAAGCGTGACTGGAACTTTTAATTGCAGTAACACTATAACAATGGAGTTAACAATAACCCTTCAGCAATAAACTGAAAGCTATAAATCTGCACCAGGCACTCTGCAGCGCTGACATGTTCCATGATGGCTGTAGCTTTTCTGTGGAAGCATGTAGATTTGTTAGCTAAAATTGCATTTTACTATCTTTGGTGTGGCACTCTTGTAAAGTAAACTCTCCTATTAGATTACGAGGCTTGTGTAAATCTCTGACTGAAGTCGGTTTGACTCTAGTCAGTGCTCATAAGTAATCCATGGAGGATGGCTGCCTTCCAACCTCCTCTAGAGCGGGTGTTAACGTCTTTGCAGTCAGACGGGGCAGCGGCAGCTTCTAGCACTGCTTTGCCAGGGATTTGGAGATGGCACGTATTTTCTGCTTTTAATTGTCTTGGATGCTCGATCTGCGTTCACAGCTATGAGGTCAACGTGCCTTTATTCACTTTTGGCTGTACTTGAAGCTCATCACTGAAACAAAATCCAACAGTCTGTAATACATGGTCAGGGCAATAGCTATGATCTGAGTTAACCTCCTGTTGACTTCAACAGGTTCAGTGCCCCATGCTCAGAAACATCTTCCTCTGGGAGGCCACGCCAGGAACTTCACAGGTACTTTACTTGACAGTGTCACTGTGAGCAGAGAGAGTAGGTGGTACAGCATCAGGATCTCACTGAAATGTCATGTCTTGTATGTAGCCACAGGAATGCAGATTCCCTTAGTTTGAACCTCTTTGGGTTAGTTTCTTTTCCTCAAGTTTTCTACCAGGGCAAAGAATTTAGCCCATCCTGCAAAACACAGATTCAAGTAAGATCCTTTCCCAGGATTCTTCACATCAGGAGACCTAAATAATCAGAATATAAGGCAGAGTATTTGAAAGGTGTTAAAGTTACTGGCTTATTTTCTCCGTAAATATTTGAGTAGATACATACAACCTATTTTTCACATGTGGCTATTTTTACATTTCAGAATGTCCCTCATATCAGTGCTGAGCAATATAGGGGGTTCAGCTCCTGATGGAGCTAAGCTTAAACCCTACCAAGACTAGGTTGCCATCTCTCCTGTGCAACAGAAATCAAGATGACATTCTTGTGGCAGAAAGGATCCTTTGGGTGACCCACAGCTGTGCCTAGACCCAGTGTGGGAGGATAATGGCTGTACCTGGGGAAACTTGCTAAATTCATGCATTTGCTTATCTCACTCTGGATTTTAAAGTCTAGGCTGGAATTCATGGTTTTTTATATTAGAAAACAAAAGTTCAGGCTAGGAAAGGACCTTTCACATACTAGATACTTCCTACCAGCATGTTTCCTTCCTGAAAAGAAGGCTATAGGTGACCAAATATCTGGAAGTCACTGCTGATTTATTGCAGAGAATGTGTCTACAGTTTTCTATCAGAGAAGGGGAACCCATGGGTTCACCATCCAAATCTGACCAAACATGTAGTCCAGGCTTGCTGGAACAACTCAAAATATGTGAAGGTTATTATGACATGCAAATGATAAATACGCTAAGGTAACTGATAGGGGATCCCTCTGATCCCATGGCACAGGGATGGCAGCTCGGCAGGGAGTGTGTCCTAGGCCATGGTAACAACCCAAATCCCAGCAAAATTCCACAGAGCAGGAAGGCAAGTGCCTGAAGAAGAGCAGGCACTGAGCCCACTTCAGCTACCCAATAAAGATAGCAGTGTCTTCAGAGGGCAAAGTTATCTGTTTTTCAAAAACACAAACAAGAAGATAAGGTTTATACGATATCCAAGCCTGCTGATAAATGCTGGAGTCTCTAAAGGCATAGTAACTGTTCTTCACTGCTGGTCAGATGTTTCTCCTCTGTAGTTAAGAGAACAAACACCACTTGATTTTGATAGCAATGGGCTGTGCCTGACGCTCACGGAGTGCGGGGAGCAGCTGTAAGCCGTGCAGCCATCTGATTTTACATACCGTCCCACCTGCCCACTGACTGCTCATCTCTCCCCCCCTTGAAGAGAGAGACGTTTGTGGCCTCAGTCAGCCAGCACTAAAAAGCAGAGGCTTGAAGCTGCAAGTATTTCTTCCCATTTCTACAAGCCCTAGCTAAATAGTCTAATAAACTACTACAGATAGAAAATCTCCCACCTTGCAGGAAGTTCTGAAAGCTCACGCACCTTGTTAGTCCATCCCTATTTTTCCTAAGTATCCCATAATCCATACCAGCCCTAGAAAGCTGACATCATTCAGCTTACCAGAGGTCACCTCTTCATTTACTTGTTGTGTGGTTTGCCCAAGCACCCAGCCCTTTGACTGTCAGCCAGGCACAGATCTATTTTTCCCTCAAAATAAGTACATACAGGAGCTTTCCTTCTCCTTGCCTCGTGTCATTCTCATTTTAATCCAAAGATCCAGCCTTAGAAGAATTACTTGGAGGAGTGAATTCCAAAATGGAAATTTTAGCATGCAGAAGAGACTCAAAGGACATGCATGCAGGAACAAAATTAGAGTTTGGTAGTGAGTGGGATAGGAACTTTCCTACACAGCAAGAACTGCTTTAACTGGTGTTTACATTATATTCTGAAAGAGAAAAACGTCTAAGTGGTGTTAGGGACCGTTGTTTTGAAAAAAATAGTTAGAAATCAGCTTTTGGTGAACCTCAAAGAGGTTAGCAGCTCTCCCTCAGATCAGATAAACATCCAAAAGGTTGGGTTGGGTTTTTTGTTTGACATGTGTGCAGATTTATTGGAAGGAATATGAGCTGAAGATCTGTGAAACTGTCACGGGAAAGCTAGTGGCTTCGATTGCTGATATTTCATGGTATAAGCTGAGCTTTCCCTATTCCTTTTTCTAAAATCAGCTGAAAGCAAATAATTTGCAAGAACACAAAAATGTCGTTAAGCATTCCCCAAATATTTTCATATATGTCAGAGTTGATCTGATTTATGCTTTAGTGAAAGGTTGCATTCATTTTTATATGAACTGTGTCCTCACACTCCTTGACTTTTCCACAGAATGGGCTTGATTATGAGAAAAAAAAAAAAAAAGAGTTATTTGTGCAACAAATCGCTTGGACAACTCCATACTTAGTTAAAATAAGCAGTTAGAGCCCATTTTGGAGGCAAACTGGGCATTTTCACATGAGAATGACTACATGTGGCATTTATGCTCGTGGTGATGGATGGCTACAAAGGCAATGGTGCGTGCAGTTGTGATGCTAACTTACTAATCAGGCTTCCTATGAACTGACAGTGCTGGAGTGGTCGTGAAGGCTTATGTTCTTAGGCTTTGCTATCACTTTCCTTTTTTGGGGCATGTGTTGGACTAGAAAAATATTTTACAGCACTGTGCAAGTAGTGTAAAACAGATTTTTGAGAGTTATTTCACACACAAGTATTTCTAAGGGGAGAGTTGTTTACAGAGCTAGATGGAGGTAGGACCCTCACAGAACTGTTATGAAAGGAACACATTTAATAAAAGCACTGTGATCTTACAT